AAAGAAAAAAAAAAAAGCTAGATAGCAAAGAAATTCTCAGGAAAAGAGGAATTGGATTTAGCTATGGTACCAGATGGCTTTCATTCTCACCACTGACTCAATCCTGAAATAATTATATTTCAGTATGGTAATCACAATCCAAACTATACAAACACACTGTAAACACAAACCCTGAGCAGATGAAAACTCTGAAGCGGGAAAGGTAATGAATGGTGGGGGGAGGGGCCTGAGGACGGCACAGGCATGGACAGCACGTCAGCGCGCCTCTTCTCCATCCAGATGACCAAGCTTAAACACTTTCCAAACCAGGCAATAGTGTGAATCTGTCACGTATTTGCATTTTGAGCCCTCAACAGAGAATTCACTGAATAAAGAAGCTAGATTTAAGGTTAAAAACATGAAACTAAAAATTCATTTTAGCAAATTTCTGTAAAGTCTGGGCTGGGCAAATTTTTGGAAAGTCAAAGCGTGCAGACCTGTCATCCAGATTCAGGGGAAGGCTGAGGAAGAAGAATCGCCAAGAGTTCAAGGCCAGTCTGGGCTACATAGTGAATTCAAGTCCTGCCTGAATTACATAGAGAATCTGCCTCAAAAAACTAAAACCAGGCAGGAAGATCATTTGTGAGGTTGACGCCGGCCTGGGTTACAAAGTGAGTTCGAGACCTGCATGAACTGCATAGTGAGACCCTGTCTCAAAAAAGCCAGTGGGCACAGGGCTCTGAGTTCAATGCCCAGTGCCACAAAAAATGAGAAGCTGGTACAGCCCCTCCCTGGAACTTTCTATATAAATCAGTTGACACTGTAACAATGGCCACAATGGACAGTTTTAGATTGAAAATTATCACAAGTTAATCTTTAGTCTATTTGTAAAATAAAACAGGAAAGGGGCTGGGAATATAGCTCAGTGTCACAAGCGCCTGTCTAGCAAGCGCAAGATCCTGAGTTCAATTCCCTGTACAAAAAAAAAAGCCGGGCGTGGTGGTGCATGTCTGTAATCCCAGCACTTGGGAGGCTGAGGCAGGAGGATCCTTGTGAGCTCAAGACCAGCCTGGGCTACAAAGTGAGCTCAAGGCTAGCCTGAACTGCAGAGTGAGACCCTGTCTCAAAAAGACTAAAAAAAACCCCAAAACAACAACAACAACAAAACCCAACAGAAAAAAAAAAACAAACAGTAAGAAGCTGGAAAATACACAATAGCTGACAGAAAATAAAAATGTAGCAGTAACTTTCATTCTTGCATCTTTAATTTTTATGTACCTGAGTTTTTTAACTGATGGTTTAATTTGGCAGAATCAGAAGAACATTACATTTTTATGACTGAGTCTCACGGGAATGCAAAATAAATGGACCCACACACCCTATTATGGAAGACTTTTGATCACCCTGTAATTAGCATGAGTGTGTTTTGTGCTTTTTCAAAAGCAATTTTTTCCTACAATTTTATTTCCTGCTTCTCTGGTTCTGATGTTTCATAAATGAGGCTGTAAATCTCATTTAGCTCTTGTTTCTGTTCGACTGAAGTGTGTGTGTGTGGGGGTGGCTACTTAGAAATCTTGTATCTCTCCGAAAACACAGCTTCCACAGTCCTAAAGCTTATTTACTTGATTCCAAATATGAAAAAGAACTTTGCTGTGGCACAAAAGCAAATTTACTTTGAATTTACTCTCCTTTATTGAGGGTAAGCGGCAATTGATACAACTTTCTCAATTTTTATGAATGCTACCCACTACTATCACCGTATTAAAAAAAAAATACTGAGGAGTTGGGCATGGTGGCACATTACTGTAAGCCCAGCCCTCTGGGAAGCTGAGGCAGGAGGATTACAAGCTTGAGCCCAGCTAGGTAACTCTGACTGAGACACTGTCTCAAAGTAAAAAAGGGAAGCTGGGGGTGATGCTGCACACCTCTGACCCCAGCACTTGGGAGGCTGAGGCAGGAGGATTGTTGCAAATTCAAGGCCAGCCTGGGCTACAGAGCAAGACCGTGTCTCAAAAATAAATAAGTAAAATAAAAACAAATAAGCACTGGAATGTAGCTCAGTGATAAGAGCATGTAGTGAGCGCGCTCAGTTCTGCAATAATTTATGTCAGCAACAGAGTCTGGCTCCCACCCCTAGCAGCACAGACTAGTAAACACTAGCAGAGAAACAATCAAGCTTATCATTTAATTTAGTTTAACGATTGGCCAAATATATCCTAGATACTAACTACTGAAGATACCAAATTAAACAAAAGAAAAACTTGTCCGCTTGTGGAGTTTATATTTTGTGGGTGATGATAAAAATGAAATAATTGTATGGAATGTCAGACAGTAGCAAATGTTACAGAGAAAAATACAGGGGGGAGGCGGAGTAGAGAGTGTGCTGCAGTTTTAAATAGGGTTGTCGGGAGCTGCCTCTTTGAAAAGGTGGTTCCTAAGTCTGTGTTCTTAAGCCACACAGCTGTCAGGGAACAGCGTTCTAGGACGGGAACAGCAGGCGCCTCTAACGGTCTCAGGTTGGGGTAACTAGAGTGGCGGATAAGAGGGAGTGGGAAGGCAACGATTCTATTTTTCAGCGTGACTCTCACCAAGAGATCCTGAACATGGGTTTTCATTTGCTTTGTAGACTTAAGAGAAATTGGGGAGCTCATCTAACTACTGCTCAGGGTTTTTATCCTTCTCAGAGCAATGCTTTCACTGGATTTATTTTTCACAGTGCTGGAGATTGAGCCCAGGACCCAGAGCATAGTAAACAAGTGTTCTATTCCCAGGCCTAAGAAACGCTTTTAAGTCCATCAGAAGGGCCGGGGATACAGCTCAGTGGCACAGCACCTGCCTGGCAAGCATAACGTCCTGAGTTCAATTCCTAGTACCAAAAAACCACCAAAAACCAAAAATACATCCATCAAAAAAAAAAAAAAAAGTTTGTGTTCAGCCCCCACAACATAGCAAGACCTTGCCTCACAATAAAAAAAAAAAATTAAGGTCCAAGGACTTATCTCAAGTACAGTTTTTGAGGCCTAAGGCCCTAGATTCAATCCTCAGTACCCACTGAAAAAAAAAATAATAAATAAACCTTCCTCAACACACAAGGGAACTCTTTCGGGTAAAGGAAACACTCTGTGTCCTGACTAGGCTGAATGCTGCACATACACCCTCTGGTCAGCACTCCCTCCCTGCAGGATGTAGCTCAGTACTAAGGGTGCTGCCTAACATGCACAAGGCCTGAGTCAGTCCCCAGCACTGCAAAAGCAAAGAGCAATGACAAAAACCAACTCAAGGCCTTGCACACCGAAGATCTCTGCATTTCACTGCACCATCAATTAAAAAAAAGCCTTGAACAGTGTAGTCCCCTCTTCATTGTACAGATGGAGAAACACAAAGGCCCGTCAGAGGCACACGTGCCAAAAGCTCCCATGAGCCGCAGTATTCTTGCTTAAATGTACAAAGCCAGCTTCAGGGAGAGGTTCTTCCAAAGCCCATTCCCCCACAGATGCCAAGAATGTGTGGATTTTTTTGCCACTGTCAATGATGCTCATTCCAAGTGATGAAGTGTGTTTTAGGGCTGGACAAAACCTCAAGTATTCTTAACCCAAGCCAGTTCCCGTCCTGCAGGGGCTGTGTGGGCTGAGAAGGTGGGGCTCCGGCAGGGCGCAGAGGGGAGGAGAGGAGGAGTATTCGCCAGTGTTTTAAGGCTCTCCCATTAGAAGCAGAAATTTTAGCAGCCTGATCTTAACAGATGTGGCTATTGTTTGCCTACTTACGGTGTCAGGTCAAGTCCACTCATCCGCTTAGAGGACAATCACACGAGGAAGATCTTACATTAACAAATTTGTCTGTTGACTTACCAGATTGGACACTCTAAGATTTTCTGCATAGCATTAAGGACACTTTGTACTTCTTCAACTCGAACCGCTGATAAATCCATTTCTTTATGTTCCATTTAACTTAAACACATAAAATGTAAAACATAAATGAACCATTTTAAAGCATTTATAAAAACAGTAGCTTAAACACCATCTTTAAATAGCAGAAATTTTAAGGTTGAAGTGCTTTAGCAATTTTACCACCATAGAACTAATAACAAAAGCATTCCCTTAAAAAGAATTTTGTTTTGTTTTGTTTTTTGAGACAGGTCTCACAATGTAGTTCAGGCTGTTACTGAATTCACTGTGTAGCCCAGGCTGGCCTTGAACTTGCAGCAATACTCCT